CAGAAGGCTATAGATTATAACTCCGCTTCTGGCCTCAAATGTAATTTTCTCCCTCAATTTTCAGGACCCACCCCTCCCTCCAGCACCGGAACGGCAGGCAGTTCTCTAAATAACACCATGTCCCTGGCTGCCTAGCTCCCATTTGAAGGGTTCAGCGGGGCTCCTTTGAGGTCTGTCCCCCACCACCCTCCCTCTCGCAGGCGTCTCGGTCTGAGTCTGAGTCAGCCTGTGAGTCACCTCACTCATTAGCAGAACTCAAAATGCCTCTTCATCCTCTAGATCCCTTTTGTCTCCCTTCTTCTAACTGGTTTCCTGGCAGCCTAGGGTCTGGGGACAGACAACCTTGAAGCCAGGGGCTGGACTGCTCCTAGGCTGGGCTGCTCAGCAAGGAGATTGGCAGACGGCAAGTGGAATCAGAACAAGGACACTGTTGCTCACGGTGGCCTCGGGAGGACTCAAGTGGCCAGATTTGGCATCTCTGCCTGTGTCAGTTTATAGGACAGCACAGGGGTCCTTGGATCTTGGTCCTGTCTCTTCTCTTCTGACCCTTCCTCTCCCCACCTCTCCTGTCCCTGCACACCCCCCTCAGGGGTCAGATGGTGAAAACTTGGGGGCTCCACTCTCTGGGGAAGTACCGGGGAAGAGAAACCTCCCTATGGTGGTGGGCACTGAAACTCCCACCTTTTCAGATCTCTTGTTCTCGTCTGTGCTCACTTGATTTTACATTCTTTTTGTGAAAGATGAACTGGAAAGGTCGAAAGAGAGGAGTTATGTTCTGTTGGTGCCTCCTGGGCACACCGAGAAGCCCAGTGAAATGATACTAATGAGAAACTCTAAATTCACTGTAGCCACCTCGGTACCAATGCACTGTTATTAATTCATTAATCTTACTTAGAGCCTTTGTAAAATGGGTGACGCTTTACTCAACTGACTACAACAGTTGCATTAAATCTGATGATTTAGCTTTGAAAGGGACCCCAGAGACCATCCTGTCCACCTTTCACTCAATGAGTCAACATTTACTGGGCACCTTTGAGGAGCAAACCCTAAGCCAGATGCCATAGGGCAGTACTTCTGCCTGTCGCTGTCACTGTGTGCACATGTCACCTGGGAAACCTGTTAAGATGCAGATTCTGATTCAGGAATCTGGGTGGGGATCAGGAGTTCTGCATTTCTATAAGTTCCCCAGAGATATCCATGCTTCGACCCACAGACCACACTTTTGAGTATCAAAACTCTAGGGACTCTGCAAATAGGGACTTTGCATACAGCCAGATAAGGCTCAGCCAGGCTCCATGGCCCACACCTGTAATCCCAGCCACTCTGGAGGTTGAGGCAGGAAGATTGCAAATTTGAGGCCAGCCTTAGCAACTTAGTGAGATCCTATCTGAAAATAAAAAAAGGCTGGGGGATGTAGCTTGGAGGTAGAGCATGCTGGGGTCCAACCCCTGGTACTGTGGTGGGTCCAGAGGGCAGACAAGGCTTGACTTTGTCCTTGAAGAACCTCACGAGGCCCACAGGCTCCCAGCTAAAGGATGCTTCCCTCCATAATTCTCCTTTTCTGCCACTTATATTTATTCATGAGGCCCAAACAGTGCCAACCTGTTCTTCCAATGGTCTCTGCTTTCTCTCATCATTAGCCCCAGTGTAGATGTTAAAAATTGCAAGATTTAGGTTTGAGTGTAGGACAAGAAAAAGGGCTCATATATCTTCAATCTTATCTATGATATCTAGGCTATCTCAAATTACTCTCTCACATTTGAGGCAGAACCTACCCAACAACAAAATATTTCTTTAATCATTACAGTGATCTCCTTTTATGATTGGACAGTTCCTGTCCTTTGCTAATTTTTTTTTATTGTTGTCTTTGTCTCTTAATTATTAAGTTGTGATTTCTCTTTATTAAGACATTAAAGAGAATAAAGTTTTCTTTCCATTTTTTTTTTAAACTTCATCTATTACTTTTGGAGTTTGCAATTGTTGTCTCTAGACCAGCATTAACTTTTTTCTTGTTAATCTGAGCAAGCCCCCTTTCTTCCTTTCCTATAAATGTGACCGTCTAACTTCTGATCCTGGGGCAGTGTGAAGAGAAAGTGCACGTGAGATCCTGCCGGACAAATACAGAACGTGGTTAGTTTATTTTCAGAGTTGTATTAATCCCATTATTTTACTGAAACTAGTAGGAGACACAGAGGCCTGGTGTTGATAAGTTCCAGTTTTGTTTTTGTTCTGCTTTGAGTTTGGTTTGGGTTAAATAAACATGGATTGAGCACTTATAAGAACTCTGAGTTCTGTTTTAGGTTCTTGTTCAGAGTCTTCGGGCCGAGTCAGAACCTGCTTGTGGAGAGTGTCGTATGTGCAAATGTGCTCCTGCTTTCAGTCTGCCTTTTGCCTCCCGGGCCACCCCTCAGTTGTCAACAGGTAACCTCTTCCACCAGAGCATGTCCAATTGTGAAACTGCCTCAGGACTGAGGTTTTTGCCCTGGTTGTTTTTTGGTTCCCACATTTGCTGTCTCATCTCTGTTGGAGGCTTTTATTTGTTAAAATTACTTATCTCTATAGTAGAAGTTATAAGAGTACTAATATTCTCATTTAGATTGACAGGTTTTTGTTTTAATTTTACTGGGAAACCTTTTACTCTTCCTTGCCCTCCTATCTAGAGTGTTCAATGCCTTTAAATTCTATCCACTATTGTCCATTAAAAAAATTATATATATGTATATATTTATATGTTATATTTTGCTATCTGTGACATACAAATATATAATACAATAAAATACAAATATACACAAAACCATTAATGGTAAAATATAAATATACAATATATAAATATAAATGCCTGAAGGCAATGTGTTTTGCCTCTGATGGGTGTTTGTTCTCTGAGAGTATCGAAGCAAAGAACCTCTAAAGGCAAAAATTTAACAATCATCCAGTTTGAGAATGCTCCCCCACCCTTGCTGGTACCCCCATTATTCCTTCCACACACCAATGTACCTCTGAGTCCCTCCACTGAGCATAGATAAAACAAGAAAAAGTCAATATTATTGAATCCCATCCATTTGCCAAGCACTGTGCTAAGTGCTTTCACCTACGTTTTCTCATTTAATGGATCCTTTGCTTACTGACTGCGGAGGAGAGAGTGACACTGCACCTTTGAAGGCTCCCTCCTTCTGCCACAGGCCTTCCTTCTCTGTCTGTGACAGCCTTACACCGGGAGCAAGGGAACTCGGTGTGAGACAAAACCCCCTCTTTTCTCATCTCATCCAGCTCCATGGCAAAAGTTGGTTCCTCATTTCTAGAAGATGAGAGATGCGTTGATTTAGGAAAAAGTGAGTGGGACAGGCTGCCTGCTGCCTAATACCACCCTGTGTACCCACGTGGGTGGGCACCTGCCTTTGTTCTGGCTTCTCTCCCAGACAAGCTTTGCATTCTCTGGGAACAAGGATCCACATAAGTTCCACTTCTCCCCTGACCGACTGATTGACTGATCTCTGAGCACAGGTCATTTATCACCACCACCACCCCCGACCAAAGGCCAAAAGTAAGACACAGTCTCCTGGAGATACTTACTGGTCTTATCCATTCCTGAGATCACCTGCCATTTTCTCCTCTTACGGGGATTCAAATCTTGGACACCACTAAGGAAAACATTGCCAGAGTGAGGTTGCACCAGCACTGAGAAAGGAATCTTCCCCTGGCCATGGGAGGAGGCCCGTCTCACTATCTCAGCTCTTAGGAATGGCTCTCCAGCTGCTGACAGAGCTACAAGGCCAGAAAAGTCCTCCCTGGTGACTAACAGAAAGGAGGCAACCAGAAGTAACCAGAGCTGAGCAGAGGCGACTGTCCCTATTGTAGAAGTGTCCCCAAAGACAGTGGCCAGCAGTGCAAGTCACCAGGCATCAGCCGTGTGACAGAGTCATAGCTGGCCCATTCTGGTGGACGATTGGCACTCAGCAAAAGAAGACTCTGGAAAAGAATGTACTGATCATCAGCATATGGTGACATTTTTATTCTAGAGACTTCTTATTCATCCTTTCACGTATACAATGGACGTGTGAATGAGTGTGCTAGGTGCTAAGCTGGAGGTGGGCATGCTCAGTGCCCCCCAGGGGTTGACGGTTGAGCAGAACGGAGATAGACACAGGAAGCATTAGGAGAAAACAGCAGAGGCACTTAACAGGGGACTGAAGAGTCAGGAGAGCCAATAATGTGCACAGGGCTTATATAAAGGGACAGGAGATGGACACTGCAGGAGGAGGGGCCAGCAGGGCCAAGTCACAGAGGTGAGACTGTGACTCACTGCAGAAGCAAAGGGTGTTGACCATTGTGGTCAGATAGGCAGGGAAGGGGACAAGAGGGAAGGCTGGGGAGGGGAGCAGAGGTCAGGCCATAAAGGTGTGGTCTTGCACGTCATGCTAGAGGGTCTGAAGTCTGTCTCGAGGGTCAAGAACCTATAACTGGCTTTTTGTGGGGAGAGGTCAGGGGCTGCTTTGATTTCTTTTGCACCTTGGGTGTTTATTGTCATCGTTGTTTTGGAGTTAGGGGTTGAACTCAGCACCAAGCATGTGCTAAGCATGTGCTCCACCATAAACCATATCCTAGGCTTATACCTTGTGTTTATAGGGGAAACAATGAAATAATTATCCCTTTAACTTTCCATTAATAATACTTTATTTTTTAAAAATGGAATTAATGTTTTGAAGAGACTAATACTCCAGAAGGCTCTGGAATGGATTAATACTTCTACTTCATCCTGACTCTCCTAACAAACAAATAAAAATTCAAAAGGGAGTTACAAATTAGGTTACAATTAGGGTCATGCCAGGCCCGGTGGCACACTCCTGTAATCCCAGCTACTTGGGAGTCTCAGGCAGGAGGATCCCAAGCTCACGGCTAGTCTAAACATAGGGAGACCCTATCTCAAGATTTAAAAATAAATAAATAAATAAAAAGGACTGGTGATATAACTCAGTGGGAAAGCACCCCTGGATTCAATTCCTACTACTGAAAAAAGAGACAGAATAGTAGTAATAATAATTAGGCATTATTATTTTTATAATGCCTGATATTTAACTCCAAGTATAAAATATTTTGTAGTTTATGGCTACTTTGATTTCTTCCCTTTTGCATAGGATTACAAGAGAACTCTAAAACAGAGCAAAATCTGTGATATACAATATCAAATTCTGACAGTTTGGTTCTACTATCTTATTTTTAAAGCTTAATTTTAATTGTTCAGATTTATGGGGTATGCTGTAACAAGTTATACGTATATAATGTGCAGTGATTAGAATCTGGGTGATTAGCATTTCCATCTGGTGAAACATTTATCATTTCTTTGTGTTTGGAGCCTACATATTCCTCTTTTCTAGAACTTTATAAAGTATATAATAAGTTACTGTGAACTACAGTTACCCTACTGTGCTGGAGAACTCTAGATCTTATTCCTCTTATCTACCTATATTTTGGCACCTGTTAGCCAATCTGTCTCTATCTCCCATGCCACACCCTGCCTAGTCTCTTTTTCTGGACATTTTATCATGGTTGTAGTGTGCAGACTGGACACAGGAAAGCAAACGTGAAAGTACAAGGACCAGTTCAGAGGATCCTGCAGTAATTTCAGAAGGAAATAATGAGGGTCTGGGCTTTCACAGAGGCAAGGGGGATCCAGAGAATGGAGGGTCCCAGAGATACAAAGGAGCTTCACCAAATTAACAGTGGTGGTCAACACAGATGGGACCTGAAGAGCCCACAGTGGCTCTAAGCTTTGGTGGGTGCAGGGTGATGCTGAGAGAAGGCTTGCTGGAGGGAGATAAAGAGTTCATGCTCAAACAGGAAGCTAGGACAGAACCCTTCCCTTCCACTGATAACTGCCTGAATATGATGGTGTTGGGGACTTTCCAGGTGCACCCCCAGCGACTACAGAGAGGATAGAGTTCCTAACATCCTGCCTGGCTTGTTAAGACCAAATCCATGGAGGCCAGGAGCTGCAGATGAGAGGTCTTCAGTACCTGCTGCCAAGCAGGGCCTGACAAGCTGTTTCCATGGAGACGCAGTGGCGTGCGCAAGAGGGAGTAGGAGTGTTGATCCATTCCAGAGCCCTGGGTCACAAGGCTGTAGCAGGCTAACATATAAACAGGAAAAAGACACGATCGATCAGAAAAGGATGTTCAAACCTATTGGCAATTAATTGGGGTTGTAGCACCTTAATTCTAATTTAAATCTAAAATTCAGAAGTATTGGCAGAACACACTTCATGATCCTGCTAGTTATTTTGGGTACCACTTAATGAGAACACAAGGAAGTGGATGCCAATTCAGGCTAACTCCAAAGGTACAGACATCCATCTTAAGCCCTTGTACATCCCTGGACACTAAGTGGCTGCATATCCCTTCTGAGTGTTTGGAGAAATAGGAAGAGATACAGGAAGTTAATTTATTTTGCATTCGCCATGCTAATGACAGTAATGTGGGAAACCTATGGAGCTCTTTGGAAAACTCAGGTGCTAGCAAAGCCCCAGACTGAATGCTGTTGTTCAGCAATTTGAGTAACAGGAAGAACAGAAAGACAACAGCAATGGAGCCCCGAATGTTTGTTGTGTGTGTGCATTTTAAAATAGGCATAACATGAAGTTTACCATTTTGAACATTTTAAAGTGTACAATTCAATGGCATTAAAAATATTCACAGTTTGTGCTGGGGATGTAGCCCAATGGTAGAGAGTATGCTTAGCATATGCAAAGTCCTGGGTTCCATCCTCAGCACCACCTTAAAAAAAAAAAAAAAAAGTTCATTGACAGTGTTTTGTATCCAACATCATTATCTACTTCCAAAACTTTATTATAAACCCAAACAAGAACTCTATAACCATCAAGCAACAACTTTCCCTTGGGCCCTGTCTTCATCCATTTTGTATCATTATAACAAAATGGGGACTTTATAAAAGAAAAGAGGTTTATTTGGCTCACAGTTCTGGAGATTCAAGCATGGTGCTGGTGTTGTTTCCTTGGTCTGGTGAAAGTCTCCTTAAAAATAGCATCACAGTAGTGGAAGAGATCACATGGTGAGATAGGGAGCAAGAAACTGGGGAGGAATCAGGCTCAGTCTTTTTTTTTTTTTTTTAAGAGAGAGAGAGAGAGAGAGAGAGAGAGAGAGAGAAAGAGAAAGAGAATAAATCTTTTTTGTAGATGGACACAACACAATGCCTTTATTTTTATGTGGTGTTGAGAATCGAACCCGGGTCCCACCTGTGCTAGGAGAGCACTCTACTGCTGCAGGCTCAGTCTTTTTATACCAACCTGCTCTTGCAGAAAACTAAACCACTTGTAAGACCCACCTTTGCAAGACCAACCTTACAGTGTGAATCCATCTGAAAGGTTAGAATCTCCCTAACCTTATTACTTTCCACTAGGTCTCACCACCTCACTGTGTATCAAGCCTCTAGTACATGAAACTTTGGGGTTCATATCGAGACCATAGCAGGCCCCAAAGATTTTAAACAACTTTGTTGTGCTGTAAAATCTCTGCAGGCAAGATGATGGTTTTTAACTGCTGTGAGAAAACTGGGTTGGTTTTGGTTTGATGAGTTCCCCTCAATTCAGGAATGGGAAAAGGTTGGCCAAAAGGTTCTCATCCTGTTGATGAGCTTGATAAGCATAATCTTTGGAAGAAGACTGATTATAAATATCTTAGTGACTGATGGAACTTATTAATCTTGACCTCCAAGGTATTTAAATGGCTGAAGGCAGTTCTTATGAAGAAGCCAGCAAAGCTAAGTCAGGGCCACAGTCCCTCATAAAGATTCTACTGGAGGCAAACTTGGTCCCAAAGATAGTGGGACATAACTGTGAGAGGAATTGTCTAGAATTAAATTCACTCTAAGTTACCAAAAATGGTAATGCTTGGGAGGATGAGACATCAATCTGGTGGAGAACATTGGCAATGACCAGAAGATCAGAACCTGAAATAACAAAAGTCTAATTACATTTCTTTCACAAATCAAAACATTTTGGGTGGATGGAGAAAAGGTTTGGTGACTTTACTTGCTCATCCAATAAGCTCAAGGTGTTTAGAACATGGTTCTTGGAGGTCAAGGCTCAGTCTGGTGTTCTCGGCTCCAGAGCAGCAACGACCCTCAAGTTCAAGCAGATATATCACAGACACATTGTGTTAGTCACAAATGACAGCTAGAGAGAGAAGATGTGGGGTTGATTTAGTGAAAACTGCTTCACTACAATTGCAGTCTAAATCAAATGTGTTTGGGGAAATACTTTAATATGATATATTCCTGAAAACTGGAGCTCAGAGGAGGTTGACTAATTTACTCTCACCGAGAAAACCAGAGAAAGAACTAAAAATTAGTACCTGTGTTTCCTGATAACCCGGTCTAGTGGTTTATTTTGATCAGTATCTGTGGTATGTGCTTGGAATGCACAAGGGAGATGGTTCTTGGAGCCCTTCTGAAGATTTCCTTTGATGAGAGTCAAAATATAAGTTCCTCATCTCCAAATTCACCTCCAATTCAGTTTTCTTATTTCATTGATTTTCTCATCAGAACCCAAAAACTGAATGGAAACTTGGAAAAACATTGTTAGCAGTCATGAAATGTTGAAGGCTATGAAGATAATACCTGGTGGAACGAGAAGCTCTACAGATCCACTCTGAACAAAACATTCATAACTGATGAGACAATTTTTGAAAACAACTATTTAAAGTCTCTGAAAATTGTCTTAAGGGCATAAAACAAATGGCGAAACATTTATTCAGGAAAATCTACTGCATCTCCAGAAAAGTGGGAGTCTATGGCAACTGGATCAAAAACTGTACTCTCTCTTCCACTCCCCTCCCACCTAGGTTAGTGTGATAGAAGTTCTAATCTAAGTATATGTGACTGGATAAACAGGGTATGTTCTCCCCAGTGACCAGTCAAGGATTTCCATATCTAATCCTAGCTAACTCCATTTCATAAAGACTAAAGTGCAGCCAAGAGGCGGGGAACTCAATCCTTTCATCAACCCCCCACTTTTAGGGTAGAAACTCCCCCCCCCAGGTCCAATAGACTGATAAAACTGGGGCCTAAATTGTAACTCAGTTTACAGGTGGGTGGTGTACAGTGTCCTCAAGGGGAAATACAAGCCAAGGAGATCAGAGGCTACTGTTCCCATCCAGATCTCTTCAAGAAAAGTGGAACACTTTTCTAGACTGCCCCAAGTTCTAGAACAGAGTTTCAGAGATTTTTGCCTGAGAGAAAAGGTTCAGGATAAGAACAGAGAGCTCTGAAGTAAGGGAGTTGATTTTATTTGGACTGTGGAGAAGTTCAAGCTGAAGATAATTTTTGAGAATAGAGATTTTGGTGATAAGCAATTAATAGAACTCTGGTGGCTCCATGACAGCAATAAGCTAAGCTCTAGGTTGGCTAGTTTACCAGAGAAAACCAGGGAAAGAGAGAACTTTCTGAGCCTCCTGGGCTCAGAACAAACCTTAAAGACTGACCTCAAAAACTACCACTGCAAAGATGCTTAAATATAATTGGATCAAACTGTGTAGCAATTTATGTCTCAGAGCATTGTGGAAAATAATAGAGCATGTGAACATACTTTATATACAAACAGAGATATGAAAAATTGTGTTCTATATGTGTACTAAGAATTGTAATGCATTCTGCTGTCATGTATTTAAAAAATAAAAGCAATTTAAAAAAAAAGAAAATAATAGAGCAGTTAGCTGGGAGCCAGTGGAACCTAACAGCTAGGGATCATAGTAACAGAGACAACTTAGAACAAGCAGGAATGGAGACAGTCAAAGAGAACTTTGTTAAAAATATTGTCATCCCTGAGTGACTGTGCATACAACCAAGCCTGTATCTTCTAAGGAGTAACATCAGAGGATTTAGACCATGGGAGGTAGCATTCATTAAAACAATCTAAACAGTTGTCAAAGAAACAAACAGCAATTATCCCTAGCTTAATAGAATCAATAGTCAATATTGCTGCAATAGCAAAAATGTCCCTGAACCACATATATACATACGGGAAGAAAAAAAAAGGAAGAAAGAAAGAAAGAAAGAAAATAAAGTCCAGTTTTCAACAAAAGGTTAGGAGACAGGGCAAAGAAACAATAAAATGGATTGTGACTCACACAAGGGGCCCAGGGTGGGGTTGGGGAAGGACTCAATGAAAACTGCCTGTGAGAGGAACCAGATATCAGACTTATCAGATAAAGACCACAAAGCAGTTATATTATAAGTATGTTCAAAGAAATAAAGGAAATCATTCTTAAAGAAGAAAGAAAGATATGACAATGTCTTATTAGACATTATCAATACCAATAAAAGGATGGGAATTATTAATTATTTTATTCAAGAATCTTATGGAAATTCTAGAGTTGAAAAGTGCAATAACTGAAATGAACAACCACTTGAAGGATTCACTAGTAGATTGGGCTGGCAGAAGAAGCAAATTTGAATATATATAGAGATTATTTGTTCTCAAGACAAGATAATGCCAAGCATAATGATGCATGCCTATAATTCTAGTTATTTGGGAGGCTGAGACAAGGGGATCAAAAGGTCAAGGCTAACCCAAGCAGTTTAGCAAGACCCTGTATTAAAATAAAAAAAGGTTTGGGGATGTAGCTCAGTGGTAGAGCATACTGGTTTCAATCCTCAGTACAAACAACCCTGAGAAATAATTAAGAAATATGGGGGAGAAAAAGTCTCAAAGAAATGTGGAACACTATTAAGCACATCAACATATGCAGACTGGGAGTACCAGCAGTGGGTGGGTAGGGGGATAAATCTGATGAAATAATGATGAAAATTTCTGGAATTTGATAAAATACATTAATCAACACATCCAAAATCAACTAACTCCAAGTACAATAAATACAAACAAATTCATATATCAAGAACTTCAAATACAGTTTTAACACAGAGTCCCACATCCAGATATACCAAAGAAAAAATATCAAAAGATAAAAAAGAAAATCTTGAGAGCAACAAGGTAGAACAACAAAACAAACAAAAACCCAGCCAACCTCATCATGCAAAAAATGTACCCAAATAAGATTAACATCTGACTGCTCAACACAGACAATAGATTCCAGGAGGCAATGGAATTATTTCTTCAAAATGATAAAAAGAAAAAAAGTCAATTAATAATCTCATATTCAGTAAAGTTATCACTCAAAGCTAAAGATAAAATAAAAGCTTTCTAAGATAAACAATATGAGATGCTCTTTTTTGGGGAGGAAGATTTCTGGTAGAGATATAGGGATAGAGATTGTTAAAAAGATAAGGTCAAACCAAACATGAGCATAATGACTTGGTGAATAAAAAAACCTTTAAAGTTCTTTGCAAATCAAAGATCCATTAGAGGAAGCTCCACATTTCAATATTTTAAAGTAATATTTTAACCTAGAAAGAAATTATTAAAGTGGTTTGTTTTTTATAGCAAGGTTCCAGATATTTTGGGCAGGAAAAGCCATCTATTTACTGTCCCATAGATTTATTTTATTAGTGATATGTGTGGCTAGTTTTCCCTCTTCTTCCTTTCTCTTCTGAGCTTACTCTAGTGAGGGTACACTAGACAGCAGGTCAGTCATGAAAAGAAATATGGATGAAGATGAGCTTTGCTAGAGATGCAGGCTAGTGATTTGTTTTTGGTGCACAGATTTGTAAAAGGGAAATGATCTACAGAGTGCCTTTGATGAAAATAGTCCCTTTCCCCTCTGTTTAGCTTCCAGAAATGCAACTGTCTAGTCTTTCAGTATGATTAAGTAGATCAATCCTTGAGGGAGAATGTGGAGGTAAATGAAGACTAGTTACAGCTGAGAGCAGTAATTTCCCTGAAGAGATTTTCTGCACTCTGGTCAGATTAAAACCTTTTCTCCACTTTTTTCTATATCCATTTTATTTCTTGTAGATGGACAGCATGCCTTTATTTTATTTGCTTATTTTTGTATGCAGGCTAACGACTGAACCCAGTGCCTCACATGTGCAGGCAAGCACTCTGCCACTGAGCCCCAAGCCCCAGCCCCCATAACATTTATTTTTTAAAATTTATTTTTAGGAGGTGCTGAGGATCAAACCCAGTGCCTCACATATGC